CTGCGCCCCTTGCTCTGGCTGCCTCTCACAGCAAATTACCACTGCTTCCTGTGGTTTTTTTTTTAAATTTCTTTTTAAAATGTTGGAATCTGATATAGCGCTAGTTTGGTATGACAGATAGGGAAAAGGAATTCAAACAGAGATTTTGCTGCTGACCAACCCATGCACACGGAGGCAGACAGACAGACAGACAGAGAGACAGAGAGACAGACAGACAGACACACACACACACACAGAGGGGGTGGAGAGGAAGAAAGAACCAGCAGCCAGAAGGGAACCCTCAGCCAGTCAGGAGCAAAGAGAAACTGACCACAGCAAATGGAAACTGACCAGAGACATTGACAAGAAGGGCAACTTCTCCAGGCTGGCCAAGGAAGGAGCGCTTTCCCCCACCCAACCTCCTTCTCCCACGGCAGCTTTTCTTTCTGGGTCAGACTGCGAGGTTTCCCTGCAGCCCAAACCCCATGATCCTGGCATCTGTTACCTGACAAACCCCACAGTCCCAATTTACACCTGAGGAGGTGTTTGCATCTGCCGAAACAATTCAAAATAAATTGATTTGACAAGTGATTTAAACTAAGTGACCTCCCCTTGGCGGTGTAAGATACCTCTCTTTCCAACCAAATAAACCACTATTCTCATGAAAAAAAATAAATAAATCTATGTGCGTTGTGTAATCGTGATTTTTTAAAAATCGATTTCAAACTTCCTAAACCCGATTCAAAAATGGGGGGGGGAGGTTTCCACCCAACCAACCGTGCCCTAAACTAAAGTTTTCTGGAAGCTTTCCCCCGTTCCTGTTGAAAACCCGAACGAACGAACTGGAACGAGAAGGTCTGAACGAATGGGGAAACCCAACTTTCTTGTTGCCATTTCTGACAGTCGGGCTGAAGCTGAAAAGACCAGGACGCCCAAAGTGTTCTTCTCCACTGCTAGATTTAGTTTGCCTGCCTTGCAGGGCTGTCGCGCATGCCAAAAGACCATCCAGCTTGTGGGACGTGCCCACCCCCTGCGCCTTCAGAGGC